ACTACCACCTCTGGTTATTAGGTTCCATGGTCCAGGAGTCATATCTCAAGATAAGCTTTGCCACCATAAAATACTTGATTAGAAAACAGGTGATAGAATAAGCTAAAATCTAAACACTGCAACCGGATTTCAGGTGTAGTTACAGCAAATTGGAGAGAGATGCAAAAAGCTATTTCAAGGGTCCTGGAAGCTCACAAAGTCATATGAGAAAGAATACTTCACTCAATTCCAGTAAAAAAAAAAAAAAAAAAATCACAGGTTCTCCTGACTACCTGCCCAGTGTTCTTACTGCATCATTTTTGCAGCTATCAGTATTCTCCTATGCTATTTCCTTTTTTGAAATAGGAACACTCAGGCCTAGGAGGAAACTTAAAAAAAAAAAAAGTTTATTGATTTTAGAGAGAGAGAAAAGGGGGGAAGGGAGGTGGGGAGAGAGAGAGATAAACATTGATGTGAGAGAGAAACATCAATCGATTGCCTCCCATATGTATCCTGACGGGGGATTGAACCCACAACCCAGGTATGTGCCCTGACTGGGGATTGAACCCACAGTTTTTGGTGTACTGGATAATGATCAACCAACTAAGCCACCTGGTCAGAGCAGGAGGAAATATTTGATAGGGAAGATTTCGACTACTTTAGTAGTTTCCTAGCTTTTCATTTTTTTAAAAATATATAGTATAATTAAATTTTTAAAAGCATCATAGACTGCCTTATAGTTTTAACATCTCCCATTTAGCTTTGCTAACTATATATAAACCAATTAAATCTTTAAATTCACAAGTAAAAATTAACTGCACTGTAGAAATGTAAACTCACAGGTAAAATTTTTTGGTCCTTTAGTGGAGGGTCATTAAAACATCACTTAATTTCTAAATGGCAACACAATGGATACTAAAGAATTCATTTCAAAGAAGCATTTTGGATAGCTTTCACTTAAATTCTTAGGGAATTCCAATCTTCTACTATTGCACATATTATAGCAATTTGAATCTGTTTGCTTTGATACTCAAGGCTGATAACAATTAGTAAAACTATCTGTAGGGCAATTTACTTTCTCCTTCAATAAGGACTTCTAAAAAGGGTAGGAGAAAGGATTAAAAGAGAAAGAGAGAGAGAAAGGGAATAGACCCTGACCATTTCTATTAATTGATAAACACAATAATTACTACCTATAGAACCTGGCATGCATATAACAGAGCTCTAGAAATGGAAACTAACTTTTGAAAAAAGTAACATTCAGCCTCTTTATGTCTATTCGGCTACGAAAGAATAATCATTGCATGAAAACATATATTCAAGTGATATACCATATAATATAAACTGTAAGTGGCTTTGGAAGTCAGAGGAGGTGTGAAAAGGATATTGGGGATTAGTGAAACCAAGCTTCTTATCCCAGGACTGATCTTCATCACTTTACAACCTCTCTGAGTCTCGGTTTCTACCATAAAATGAAGAGATCATAGACTTTATGATATTAAATTCCCTTCCAAATCAATAATTCTTTCCCCTGGTTAAATGGTAAAAGCAGGAATAAAAAACAAGATATAGAAAGCTTTGACTAAATATACAGTCAGTTCTGCTATAATACTTGTTTTGAAAATGCAAATTTGTTGTAATGGCAACTGATATATTAGAAAATAATGTGAGCATAATTCAGTTTTTGCATTTGCTTATGTGTCATTTTATCCACAAGAAAAATTAGGTGAGTCCAGAAAACTGCACGCAATTGAACCATTCAGCGTAAGAATATGCAAAGTGCATAAAGACACAACTCAAATACCTCCCAGCTTCTTCAGTTCACTGTGCATTATGAGCCTTGCCCATGATACTTGGTATTATTACTTTCTGTCATATTTCAGATAACCCTTTCACTAGTTCACAAGCTGCAACCCTTCCTACACCACTTCCACAAGCAATCTTGAGGTCTTTCTCAAGGTAAACTAAATGTATCTTGTAAATCCAGACCTTGATTCTGGCCAAAAATCTTGGCATGTACCAGTTTAAAAATGTCACCTGCTCAATAATGGAATGTTTAATAGCTACTCAATACCTGCCATGAAAAAGAATTATTTCTGCAATATAGTTATAACAATGCAGTAGAAAACACAGAACCATTACACTCACTCCTAGTTCTTGATAAACTCAGAGGTAAAGGAGGCTAGTGAAATAAAAAAAGTCACACACATTCACTAGTTTCCACACAGGCTAGAAACAGGAGACAGACGCAAATCATTTAGCACTGAAGGTTTGGCTAAAACCTGTCACTCAGAGCCAAAGGGCAGATAAAAACAATGTTGCCATTTAGCATGCTCAGGAAAGATACATGACATAATTATTTTGCCTTCCTGAATGAACCCAGACTTACAATCAGGACAAATACCAGAAGTAACAAACATAAAGGTAGTACAGTGTGTCCTCCTCTATGCCAGGAAAAGCTATTTTGTCATTACAGCCTTGATCCTGGCACTGTTTCTTAAAAACTACAGCATTATTTTAAAAAATAGTTGAGATTTTTGTTTACATACAAATACACACAGGTATACGAGAGAAAAACATAAAAGAAAAAAACATTAAAATGTTAAGAGTGGTTTAATATTTAGTTAATGAGATTATAGATGATTGCTTTTCTTATTGGTAGCTCTCATTATTTTATACAATAAATGTATATTACTTTAATCATCAGAGAAAAATAAATATCTTTTAAACAATTGACTAAAACAAATGAATTCCTGATTATAGTACATGTGGAATTCACAGGAAGCCATCACACATCTCTTCTACTTTCCAAAGGGTCAAAGGTGAATGGACTAGATCCGGAGGACACCTCCCCCACCAGGCAGGAAAATCCCTTCACCCACAGGAAGGCAGATGAACACCGTGCTAGACACTATACACTCAACAGATATATCTGACTTGTTTGTCCCTGCTTTTATCAGTCAGCTTTTTGATGACTCCTATAAGTATTATAAAAGATCTTCACTTTTTGCGTATAGCTAATATAGGGCCAGTTAAACAAATTTAAGTGTCTGGTAGCAGAAAATACGGAAATAAGATCTAACCAGAGATAACCAGTGACTAAAGTCTAAGGAATGTGCAAAAGGCCAGTGTAGATTTTATAGTCAGCTCTCTCTCAACATCACTATCCCAGCAATGAGAATGTATAGGCTAACTTCTAGATACACAGCACTATCCTAGATGCTGTGGTGAACACAAAAGAAGTAAGGTACAGTCATTCTCTTTACAGCGTTTATAATCTGATGGGGAAAGATATGACATACATATCAATAATATTTAAATAACACAGGACAACATAATTAAATGGCTAAATGAGCAGTACAGATAAATATTTAAGGCATTTAAGAAAGACTGCTCACTATGGACTTATAGTTGGGAAAGGTTTCAGAGAAGAGTTTTGATAGTTATAAGAAGAAAGGTAAATGTAGTCATCAAGATAAGCGAAGTCATTGGAATAGAAAAGGCAATGATGAGCCTGGATCGACTGAAATAAAAGTCAGGTTTGGGAAAAATAGAAGTAAGAAGAGATAGCTAAGCAGTTCCTTTATTGCTAACCAATCTGATAAACCGTTATCTGATTAAGAACATTTGTGGGAAAATCTATGTACCAAACGCCATGCTAAATATGACAGATATAAAATATCTAATTCTCATAATAATTTTCCAAATAGGTATCATTATTTCCATTTTTCCAGACAGAACCTGAAATGAGTTAAACAGGGAAGTTAACTAATTTGCCAAAGACAAGCAACAGAACTGGGATTTGAACTCAGGCCTGCCAGACTCCAAAGTCCATGCTTTTTTCACTACCCCATGCTACCTATTCCTAAAATACAGTTCTGGCAACATCACTCAAATTATATCTTTCCCCATCACAGTGTATTCTCCTACTCTTAACTATTCAGTGTTCCCCTGGTGATGTGATTCCCTATACATCAAAAGCCTGCTCTCAGGAGAGTATCTCAGCTAAAATGAAAATAAACCAGTAACAGTTTACCCTGCCCAAGGGATACTTCCACTGTTACAGGAATCAGAGTCTTAAGCTAGAAGGGAACTTTAATATAAGCCAGTTAGTGGAATATATATCTTATCTTCTCAGGGGGCCAGACCAAATTTGTATCTTATGATGTCCATTTTCAGAGCTTATAGCTAAAGCTCACACAAAGCTTACACTCATAAGTCCTGAGGGTCACCATGGAAGTCTAACCAGCCCCGATCTGAGACACCAAAGGCCAAATGTGGCTCAAGGGAACTAGGACCTGGTATTTCACATTCAAGTATATGACATAATAAGAAAACCTAAACAAAATGTATTTGACATTTAAATTGCTAAATGTTGTCCGAGAGTATGCCTTCTAATAATTCTATAAAATAATTTTTTACTGACTCTAGGAATTATGAGCACTATCTTTACTACTCTCACCTTTTGCACAATCAAGGATTTTACTAGCACCAAATGGCAAAAGTATCATCTTTCAAAGAAACTGAAATAAAATCCGCATGGAATCTCAGAGTGAGTCAAGACGAGTGGGTAGAAGAGCAAGGCCCAGAGAGATATTGCTCCATGGACAAACTGTGAAAACAGCCTTCACTGCTTGTCCATTTGCTAAAACCAGAATATACTAATAGGTCAAAAGTACTGATAACCTGAAAGTTCCCCACCAAGTATTTTGAACCAAGGGAATGAAAAGAGTTTCAGAATGTGTTTTAAAATGATGATCCAAATTCAGCATAAGAAAATTTCCAGCCCAGCTTAGAAAATATATTGAGTTACAAGTTTTACATAGAAAATAAAGGAGGTAATTTGAAAATAAAATTGATACTGTTCATTCTTTCTCAACAAAAGTTGTTATATCCCTTACCCTAAAGAAATCACTTTCTAAGAAATTTCCACTTTATCAATGTTCTAATATGAATGCCAACAGATTTTAGGGGTAGAACTCTTTCTGAAGCAGTGAAAGGAAGAATGTTTTTGCCCTTACATATCTGGATGGCTCCTCCAGGTTCTGGTCGTTCATGTCAGTAGGAACAATCCGGGTAGCCAGCGGTCCCTCCGCAAAAGGTTTTGGTAACTGGCCCCTGAACTCGGATGGAATGAACTGAAGTTGCCAACTGTCAGAAACACAAATAATGAGAATAACTAAAACACAGGGGGCTCAATTGCTAAATGTACTTGAAATAAACAAGCCAAACAAATTTATTTGAAAAATACATCATTTCCCTAAGAGAAAAAATATTTTTACTAAAACCTTAACCAGGGAGCACAGAGGCAGAGGTCACAATTCAGTCCAAGCTCATTGAGAAATTTTAAACTCTCAACCCATTTCACCAATTCTCAGCAATGAATATATAACCAAATGGTCACACCATCAAACACCAGGGAAGCATCAAAGTTTATTGCCAATTACAACTTATCAAGATTAAAGAAAATTCATCAGGTGTATAGAGAAAAGAATGAAATTTAAGAACTCACTATGGGAGGACTTGTAATCATCAAAAGTATCTTTAGTTCTGAAACTATTTCAAATGGAAAGGAAAAGGTAAAGTTAACACTTAAAACATAAGTTGTGATTTAATCATTAATGGCTGATACAGGATCTTCATCAAGCACAAGATACCACTGCCAGCTAATCTGTTAAAGTCAGTCCCCAAATGGAGCAAGATGACTCCATTTTCAAGAAATAGGACTCTTCTCTGTCCAAACTAAACAAATAGAAGGAACTCCAGAACCTATGCTATCCCATCTAACATCTGGGAGCTTAAAGAAAAGTGGTACAGATGTCTTAACCACAGTTTCCTCTAATATCCATACATTGGTGGGAAACTTGCACTATTGTTGGATAATAAATATTTCTTCTCTAAAATCACTCTTCTTTTCCTGGCCGGGTAGCTCAGTTGGTTAGAGTGTCATCCCCATATGCCAAGGTTGCGGGTTTGATCTTCAGCCAAGGTACATATGAGAAGCAACCAGTGAATGCATAAATGAGTGGAACAATAACAAATCGATGTTTCTCTCCTTTCTTTCTCTCTCTCTCTCTTAAGTCAATTAAAAATTTTTAAATAAAACATATAAATAAAAATGAAAACATTTCTTGCTAAAGTTTCTAGGCCACTTTTAGAAGTAAATTAATGTCAGATTATAGAAATTAAAATATGAATCCCCAGGGAGAGCCACTAGCAGGAGCCCAGAGGCCGAAGTGATTTTAGAATTTCCCAGACCTCTGAGGGAAGGGCAGTGCAGGGTGCATACCAAACACAGTCTTCAGTCTACTGAACCTAGGCAGTGGGTACACCGTACAGGCCCCACAGCTCTCTGAGATAATAATTAAAAAAACTTTTTGTGAAAAATCCAAGATAAAAGAAACTTTAAGAAGACATTGCTGTAGAATTTGCTACTTTACTTGATTTAAAACTCTGGGATTAAAGGACAACTTACTTATCAGGCAGGAGGAAGCTGCTAGGAAATCGATACCACTCTTTTCCTACACAGACATTAACAGGTCGTCCTTCTGGGACAGTGTGAATGGTTGGGTCTGTAGCAATTCGGTAAAATTCTGGATATAAATCAAGGGGTGCATGATAGCCTGTAAGGGAGAAAGGTTTGTGAAAGCCAAAAATGAGTAACATGAGATTCTGACATGTAATTATGATACATGTTAATGTCCCACTATAATCTATGTGAAATTAAAGATCATAAAAAATATGTAATCACAGGATTTGAGCCCCAAATATGCACCCTAAGTTTAAAACTTCCTTAATAAGAAAAATCATCCTTCTAAAGGAAAAAAAGTCAAGAAAAGAGAAAAAATTACAGTTAATCACACTTAAAGGAATACTCAATTTCCTCTTCAATCCGAAGATACAGAAGTCACTTCCCAGGCTTAATATTAAGTCCACAGGTTCTCCCTACAGCAAAGTCCTCCTCCCAGGTTAAGCTGAATTGCTTTAAACAATCACACATTAAGCAAAACCCTAGGTGAAGTGCCTCATGAGTATGGGTGAAGGTATTCTCAGTACACTTACCTCTGAACAGAGCGACAGAACGAGAAAAGGATAAAAGTCCAAACAGGAACAGTATTCCTAATGCCAACCAATTTGAAGTCACAGTATAATGCTCTAGGCGGTATCGCTGAAACATGAAGTGGTAACATTTCTAGAAGGAAAGAAAACTGTATTGAAAAAAATAGATATACCTTGCAGAATATATACATCCAGAAAACTTCATAGTAAAACAAAGAAGGAAAAAGCGGCAAAAGAGGTTATATCAAAGATCTGAGCACATGCAAACAGTGAGGTACCCACTCCGAATTCTAAGATTAATGCAAACTCCGTTAAGACAATCTTCGGTCAGCCTGGCTAGGAGGCTTCCGGAGAATGAAATCTCAGTAGTTTCATAGGGAAATTATTTGGATACTTCTCTAAGTGCTTAAAGTGCTAATCATTTCTTTTTTAAATTTTAAATTCTTCTTCATAGCTTCTTTGACATTTAAAGTATCAACCTATTTTGATACAGAGTATTAATCTTTACTTTTCTTGCAGATAAGTTTTCATCACAGTTTTTAGTATCAACAAAATATCTCATGACCAAACAAGAAGAAAAAGGAATTTCTCTCATAAAACATTAGGAAAAGGCTGTTAATTATCTGCTAAACTATATAAACTAAATGAATATTATCACAATATATTTATACATACAAGGTGCCTGGAAAACGTCCAGCCATTGTTACTATAATGAGAACAGTTATGTGTGACATCAATGTAGCCTGGCAGCCAAGGAGAGTGGACTAGAATGTGCATATATGAACAATGATGACTTCACTGTATTAGTCAGTGGGGGTGGTAGACACCATTGAGTGAGCATGTGTACTGTGTGACCATCACATTGAAAATAACTGAGTGAGTAGAACAGTGAATCTACATCAAATTTTGCGCTAAGCTTGAACACTCCTCCTTTGAAACTATTCGGATGATTCAGAAGGCTGCAGCTATGGGAAAATGGTGATTGGCAGCTTTGTCACAATAATGCACCAGCTCAAGTATCTTGTCTCCTGCAGAGTTTTTTGGCAAAACATCAAATCACCCAGGTGACTCAGCCCCCCTACAGCCCAGATTTGGTGCCCTGCAACTTCTGGCTTTTCCCAAAACTAAAATCACCTTTGAAAGGGAAGAGATTTCAGACCATTGATGAGATTCAGGAAATGAGACAGGGCAGCTAATGACGATTGGGAGAACTGTGTGAGGTCCGAAGGTGCCTACTTTGAAGGGGACTGAGGCGTCATTGTCCTGTGTACAATGTTTTTCATATCTTTTATCTTCTAAAATAAACATACCTATTTTTCATATTGCAAGGATGGATACTTTCTGGACAGACCTAGTCATCCATGAATTCTACAGTCTTTGAGAACCACCCCAATAGATTTCTTTCCTTTCTCCTTTCTCTCCTAGACTAGAACTACTTTTGGAAAGCAATTTGCAATACATAACAAGCACCACAGATGTGTTTAGACTCCTTATATATTTTGGGAAATCTGTCTTAAGTAAATAATCCAAATACCTAAACAAAGATATTTATCATAGCATTATTTATAATACTGAAATAAGTGTAAAACCTATTTCAGTATTAAACTAAAAGAGTACAGGGTTTCCAAAGTGATGAAAATGTTCTAATGTTGAATGTAGTGACAGTTACCCATATCTATGGGTACACTATTGGGTTGGCCAGAAAGTTCATTTGGTTTTTTCTGTACGATGGCTTAGCTGTCCATCGTTGAAGAGCGGACATTCCATTAGCTCTGCTTGGGTGCCACCATTTGGTGGTAGGCCCATACAATGACTTGAAAATATACTTGGATTCTGGTTGGCAACAAAGACAAATAACACACAAATTAACACTGCAAATATGTCATCAGCAAAAAAAGATTACAATCAACAGCTAAGCAATCACCACATAAAGATTTAGTAATATGCTCCATATTAGGTTTAATGAATGGATAAAATATCTTAAGTGGAAGCATTTTGTAATTTGCCTTTAAACTTAAGGAACAGTTTAAAATGTGAAACAGAATGAAGCAGATACACATTTTCCTTAAACTTACCTGAAGTGCAGACAGGGCCACAGCACCACAGAGACATATAAGTGGATATACAGGGAACAGAAATCTCTCTTCTTTGTGGGGCTGGATGAAGAAAATTATAAACCAGATATACATTGGAGCCAAGGTAAGCCAATATGGGTGGCCTAAATTCTGAACTGCAAGACACAGAAAAATATCCACCTTTCACCATACTGGAATAAAACAACATATTGAGTTTCACTGTTCTCTTCATCTCAAATGTGAAAACATGGCCTAGGACACCCTATGAAGTGTTTCAATTCTTGTATTCACACCTTCTCCAATGCAGTAAAGAAGTACAAAGAGGTACATATACGCCTAACTAAGCTCTCCAAAGAGATCCAATGTCTAAATGGAGGCACAACACTAGATTTGGCTAGAACAAATGAAAGTCAGGTGAATGGCTAATAGAACTTAATCTGTACATTGAATGAAGAAAAAACATCTCTCTTTAATGAGTCCTGCTACTAAGACTAAAGGTTCCTGAGATTAACAAAAGCATAACATAAACTCATTCTTGGGTTTTAATTTCTATGTTCTGTTGAATACATTAATCTTCTTATTTATACACTGATAGGTCTGTTCAAATAGCTACAGATGAAAGGAAAACAAACAGGAGCCAGATTCTCAAACCCATCACTGATTTTTGTTAAGCCACAAATGACAAAGAGCTATTTCAAAGCTAAAACAACAACAACAACAACAACAACAAAAAACCCCCAACTTAAAGGAAGTTTACTGATCAAGTTTTCTTTTCTCTTCTACACATACTCATCCACTCTGAATCCCAAAATTGGAACCAAAATGTACTTAAAGCATGTGAAAGAATTAAAGGAATTTAACAAACACTAAAACCAAACACCTGTTGGAAAGTTCTTATGGTTAGGTACATGCACACTAAGGGATAAGCCTGCAACCCACAGTGAAGGCATCTCCTACTGTGTTTATGTTACTGATAATGAGCCGTGTATAGAATCACTGGCAAGTGGTAGAGAGAGAGCACCCCCTGTTGTCCATTATGTCTACAATGAACAAGTTCAGAAGAAATGACTGTCATCATGATCCACCATAAAATAAAATTTTTAAAAACTGATTTTTTAATTTAAAAAATCCACCTTAGCAATGCTTAATTTTGCATGCCTAAATTATCTGTATTTTTTTTGTTAAAGTTTATTGATTGATTTTTAGAGAGAGAGAGAGAAATATTTGTTGTTCCATGTATTTATGCATTCATTAGTTGCTTCTTGTGTGTGCTCTGACTGGAGATCAAATCCACAAACATGGCATATTGGTACGATGCTCTAACCAACTCGGCCACCCAGCCAGGGCCTAAATTATCTGTATTTTTATAAAAGAGTTTATTAATTTATTTTTAGAGAGATGAAAAGAGAGGGAGTGAAACATCAATCTGAGAGAGAAACAAAGATCGGTTGCCTCTCATATACATCCCAAACAGGAACTGAACCTGCAATCCAGGCATGTACCCTGACCAGGAATCAACCTGACTACCTTTCGCTTTGTGGGATGACACCCAGCCAACTAAGCCACAATGGTCAGGGCAATTATATGTATTCCTGAAGAAACTCTATAGGGATAAAACTTCTTGAGCTGCAATAACAAGGTTATCTCTTAAACTTTCCACTCTAAGATTTTTATCATGAGATTTCAGGCTATAATTTAGGATTTATCCCTTCCTAGGAAATACGAGATATGTCCAGAAAAAGTCCAGCCATTGTTAATAAAATGAGAACAGTTATGTGCAATATCAACGTAGCATAGCAGCCAAGGAGAGTGGACTGGAATGCATATGTGTAAACAATGACAACTTCAGTGTACTAGTCAGTGGGGGCAGTAGACGCCATTGAGTAAGCATGTGTACTATGTGGCCATCACATTCAAAATGACTAAGTAGATCAACCAATCTGCATCTGATTTTGCATTAAGCTTAAGAGTCCTCCTTCGAAGCTATTACGATGATCCAGAAGGCTGCAGCTATGGGAAAATGGTGATTGGCAGCTTTGCCACAATAATGCACCAGCTCAAGTATCTTGTCTCCTGCAGAGTTTTTTGGCAAAACATCAAATCACCCAGGTGACTCAGCCCCCCTACAGCCCAGATTTGGTGCCCTGCAACTTCTGGCTTTTCCCAAAACTAAAATCACCTTTGAAAGGGAAGAGATTTCAGACCATTGATGAGATTCAGGAAATGTGACAGGGCAGCTAATGACAATTGGGAGAACTGTGTGAGGTCCCAAGGTGCCTACTTTGAAGGGGACTGAAGCATCATTGTCCTATGTACAGTGTTTCTTGTATCTTGTATCTTTTCCAATAAAGGTCCAGTCTTCATAGTACATGGCTGGATACCTTCCGGACAGACCTCATATTTTATGTTGGAATTTTCTTAATTGAAAGAAAATACTCTATCTTTTACAAGTAAACAATCCTTTTCTCTTCTGTGTCTCAAAGGCTAACCAATGTATTTTTAAAATACAGCCTAAAATTTTGAAATGTCCATATAATATATAAAATCAAAACCACAGTTGTACTACATGATGGAATAAGTGGGTAACTTTTCTTTCTTCTTTATATATTTTTCCTTTTAAAAAGTATTGTTGCTATTATAAAATACATAAAAAGTATAAATAAAAAACAGCACTAATTTTCTTACTAGGTGGACATTACACATTTTTAAACCAAACTGGATTCATACTACAGAAAACAGCTTAATATACTGTTTTTATACTTACATTACAAACATTTCCGAATTCTCCACAAGCATAAATTATTTTTATAGTCAGGAAAAAAATGTTACTTTTCAAAAAAAGAAAAAGTGATCCTTGAGAAATACAAGAAATAGAGGAATAAATTATCACCTCAATGGAACAAACAGCTAAATACAAACATGGGGCACTGCAAGATGAATGACCTAGTTTCCTTAGAAATCTTCAGGAGAAAAAAGGTGAGAGTGGAGAACCTCTTAAAAAGCTTCAGAAACATAGTATTAACTTCAGCATATGACCTTTGTTTAGATCCTGCTTTAAAACAAACTGTAAAAAACCATTTTTTCAGACAATGTAGAAAACGTGAATATCAATTTGATATTAAATGATATTAAGGAATGACTTAGTTTTGTTAGAATAATGGCATTATAGTTATGTTAGTGTAGTTAGCTAATTCAAATATTAAGCTTAAGGAACTAGGGAGTTGAAACAAACAGTAAGCTTAATAAACTGGGAGGCTGAAGCAGATATTAGAGCAGCATTCCACTGAGTTCACTAAGAAGCTATTGCATAAACAGACTCATACAAACACTCCAGAGGACTGCTGCTCTGAGGAGACTTAATCCTCAGAGTATACAGGAAATCTCCCAAGGAGCACTTGTTGCAGGGTGTACAGGGAGGTGCTTCAGCATAGAAGCCTGACCATCCGACTAGGGGGTGGACCCATCATAAACCCTGAAAGCTTGGGAAGTTGACTGGTTATTTTTAAAAAGCTCCAGTTTATAACACCAGGGGAACAACGAAACCCCCTCCCCTTTCTCTTGGTGATTCTAACTTGTCTCACTCGCTCAAGTGTTCTCCCTACATAGCCATGTGGCCTTAGCAGTCACATGGCTGAACTCCAAACGCAGACTTCAGGTAAGAGCCTGGATACAACAGCACAGCTGAGAACATGAGCTAATAAGCTAGGCAGATGGGTACTGAGACCACACAGAAACTCTGGGCCCTGGCCTTTGTTTTGGCCTTGCTGAAGACATGGTTGGACTTTTTCCTTGGTGCAACAGATACAGATGGGACATTGAGAACTGGGTTCTCCTGGGAAGGGCACTCTTTTAATTTTGCAACAAGCACCCAAGTTAATCTTACTACCAGACCTCATTCTCCCTTGTGGGTCCCTGAAAATGCTTTTTCTCAAGACACTGCAAGGAGTCCACTTCCAAGAACAACATGTGGTGAGCCAGCAGAAGTAGGAGGAACTCTGGCTCGTGGTAAGAAAACTGCTCAATTTTTGCCCTTGCAAGGGGGCTCATATGGCTGGAGGTTTGTCCCATGCACCAAAAAGGTTGCAGGTTCAATCCTCAGTCAGGGTGTGTACGAGAGAAGGCCAATTCATGCTTCTTTCTCAGATCGATGTTTCTCTTTCTCTTCCCTCCAGTCTTTCTCTCTCCCCACATTCTCCTATCTCTAAAATCAATAAACATACTCTCGAGCGAGGATTAAAAAAGAAAAAAAGAAAACTGTTAGATCTTCACTTTACTTGTCTCTCCCCACCTCTCTGCTACTACCTGTATTTCTTCCTTTTATTATATCTCTGTTTCACCCCCATGCAGCTCAGACTGCAGCTTGGAAATAACCTCTTCCATGTGCAAAATCACCCCAGTGCTGTGGGTTCCTATAGGGCAATGAGCATATGGGTGCCAGTGGAACACAGAATGCAAGGAGCAAGCACGCACCCTCTGCTGCCTTGGATTTTACTCCTGGCAAATGAAACCCCAAGTGCACCCAACTGCTATATCCCCATCTTCTGCATAGGAAAGGGGACTTCCCACAGCCACTGACAAGCCCAGCTGAGCTGTGAGCAAAGGGGAAAAGCTCCATTCCCCTTTGTTTTTTCTGGCTCTCAGACTGTGGCACAGGCTCTCCGCCTCCTGTGGCTCAGCAGCAGGAGCCTCCTGTCTCCATGGCCAGGAGGGCACTCAGGTCCACTGCCCAGGCCCTGGCTGGGGGATTTCCCCTCTCCCAGCAGTCACTGCTTGCTTTTATACCAGCACAGCCTTGCATTTGGAAGTCTTCTCAACTGATAGTCTTGCAGATTCAGAAACTGGTTTATGATTTGCTGTGTTCATTAACCTTTCTGTTCTTCCCGCTGTTTTCGGAGGATGTATGCCTATGAGCTTATTTACCTGGTCGCTTGTTTACACAGCATAGGCCTCTCTTGAGAAGCCCATGTGTATCATCTTCTCCTGAAGTAAGACTTAACAGTTTGGCTGGATTGACTCGTGGTCAGGACTAGATGGTAGTGCCAATGAAGTATGAGGCAGTCTATTGGTTTCACTTGAAACCTCTTTCCTTTTCTGCCCTAATGGTTCAGACAGAAAAAACCCAAAGGTCTTTGTGAGGGAAATCTTAGAATGTTCCCAAGCAGAATTTGAGTTAAGTATGGCAAATGAGAGGGCTTCAGACAGGTGTGACACGCCTTGGTCCAGGGAAGCCACTCCTCCAAACCTAATCTGAGATGTTATCAAGTTAGTCCCTCCCTCTATCATCTGGTTCTTGCCTCTCAGCAGACCTTTAGTTGCTATAATCCTCCTCATTTCTGGACTGTGTTTTTTAACCTTCTTGTCAAATTTATCACCGCTAGAACACAACAAGGAACCCAGCTTATCAACATCACCATCCTCTAGACATCATGTATGCTGCCTTCCAGGCACAGCTTGACTAACTTGGACTTTGCAAAGTCCCCCTTCCCTGCATAAAGACCATCCTTCCCTTTTTGCTCCTTTCTTATGTTAGCAGATAAGAAGACCCTCTGGGCCTGGGAATAGGCAGGACTAATACCTCTGACAGCAAAAAGCAGCTACAGAGGACTAGACCTTCATCCATTTACCCTTATAAGATTACAAGGCCCAAGATCTTCACAGCAGGAAATGTAACTGTAGTTAGCTAATTGTTAACATAAAAAAGAAAGCACAAGGAATTAAGCTTAATAAATTAGGAAGCTAAATAAATATTAAGCTTAATTTAATAAACTGGAAAGCTGAAGCAGATATTAGGACAGCATTACATTGAGTTTGCTAGGAAGCTATAGTGTAAACAGATTCATTCACACACTCCAGGAGACTGCCACTGAGGAAAATTAATCCAGGGCAGACAGGAAAATCTCCCTGAGGGTGCTGCTGGTTGGGTACCAGATTCCCAGAGGGAGGAAAAGGGGGAACTCTTCTGCTGGGCAATGCACAGTGGAAACCAGATGACATAATAGAGCTTTTTGGCATAAGCAACAGAAGTCAAGATAGCGCAGGGGGAGGTGTTTCTACTTTCGGACCTGTGCAATGAGAGCCAGGGTGACGACACAGAGAGGCAGAGCCCAGCCTGGGAAATGCTGGAAAGGTAACTGGATTGAACAGAGGGCATGGAACCCCACTAGGTCCAGGAAAGGGACTGGATGGGAGGAAGGCCCAACTCAAGCCCAGGAAGAATCAGGAAGTTGGGTTGGATGGTTTGAATGGTACCTTATTCTTTGGAGCTAAGCCAAAATCTGTGGAGTTAATCATCCATATATTTTCCTCAGGACAGTTGCTGCTAGGCCGGCCTGCCCTTTGTGTCTCTGAAGTTTAATTCCCTTAATTCCAATAAAATCTTGCCATCAAGTTTAAACTTCTCTATGCATGTGCTATTTGAAATTCTTTTCTCTTAAAACCACGAGAGCTCATTTTCACCAGCAATAGTTGTGTTAAAACAGTCCTCACACAAAACAAAAGTGACTCTGAAGGCTGCTGTCACAATCTGTTATTATAATACAGTAAACCCTTCATAAACCGTGAATAGTAGAAAAGCAGGATAAGGGGTGGAATGGAGGGCTCAGTCACATGGCATCCAAATCAGACTGAAAAGTCTGAAATAAAATCTTTCCAAATGTTATATAAATTTCTGTGCAAATCTGCCCTCCATAAAAGGGCACTAGATATCCAAAGCCATGACAACTTGAGAAAACACTGGCTGTGCAATACAGAAGCAGAGCAAGCAAATGACAAACTAAAATTTTCACAGTACAGCAAACACAGAAGCAAAATGAAACAAAGGCCATCGTGCTTCTTAGGAAGTCAAAAGCTTCTCTCATTTTAGGATCCAATTTGGCTTAGTTTTCAGATTTTGGGTGGAAGTAATTTCCCAAAGAATGTTTGCCTCTAGCATTGATTATCTTAAGCAATCTACCATGTTAACTCATGCTTCTTTAAAAAACATAAGACTCAATCAAATAGGCTTGTTTTCTGAGATATTGTAAGTGTTTTTTGCCTCCCTGTACGGTTCTGTAAATTATATTGACTTCCTTACTTTAAGGGCTATAAAGCTTCTCTCTGCCAGTTTAACTTGCAAGTATTAACCAAATTTTCAAAGGGGTCTAAGTAATCTTGACAGACTGATAATTCAATAAGCCAACTATTTCCATAGGAAGAAAATGGAGAATACATAGGCAGATTCTTTTTCACTTCTTGGTATACATTGTTACTTGCTCTTTCTTCCCCAAAAAACTATGATCTCTTATGACACTCACCATGAAATCTCTGCAGTAGGTATTCCATAAGAGAAGTCAGTGGTAAGACCAGGAGAGCCAAAGAAAAGACAACATTAAAATTCAGAAATCCATTAATTAAATAGAAATGCCAGGGTTCTGTACCTGAGGGAGACAAAGAGATAATAAATCATTAGAGGGTGCCGTCAATACATATTACAGTGTTTGACTCCTAATGTACTCCATTTGAGTAATGATGATCCAATGCCCCAAGTTAAAGAGAGTCCATGAGGCCACTCTTTCCACACTCAGCCACACACAGAAAGCACAAGAGCAGAAGACAGAAGATGGGAAGAGAATGGGATTGTTCAAGATTTAGACAGAAATCAAGTTTCGAATATTAAACTGTATTTTCCATACTGACCACTATATCTAGTTCAAATAGCCATGCCCAAATGGGACAACTACTTTTTCAGAACAACTAAATAATTTAAACAGGTTAGTTATGCTATTGTGATTTGTAATAAGAAACATGTATTCAGTCTCCATCCCCATTCTGGTACAGAACTCCTAAAACCCCTGGAATTTCCTTAGAGATGAGAGTGATAAAGTGTCTTTTGCTATGTTAATAAGGAGGCTTTAGGAAAGTTCCTAGATAACCTAAGGTTGTGAACTGGTTGCCAGGGGAACCAATCCTGCGATTATAGGGTCAGAATTTTCAACCCGACCCACTGAACACTGACCTAAGGGGAGGGGAGAGGAGAGGAGCTGGTAATAAAGTTCAATCGCCAATGGCCAATGATTTAATCAATCAAGCGTATGTAATGAAACCTCCATAACAATCTGAAAGGAAGGGCTTTCAGGTTGGTGAACACACAGAGGTGTGAGGAGAGCGCAGAGAGCATGTAACAGGGCACAGCCAGGGCTCCCTCAAAGGGTATTTGTAACGGGGTCCAGAGATTGGGGTGTCCAAAAAAATATATTCTCCCCACCCCACCACGGGCCACCATGGGGGCTGGGAGCCTTGAGCAGGGCCCCCATGGTTATGGATTAAGAGCTGGAGATCACGGCGATGCAGTGGATGGTGTTGAGAACCACAAGAGGCCTGCCCAGCCCCGGACTTCTGTTCTTTTTCTTCTGAAGGATGGTACCCCTGACTGGCCTAACTGGCCTAACTGGGCAAAGAGGGGGAGGAAGGACTGTGTGTGCTGGTGATCGTTTTAAAGAGATTTTGAGGTTTAAGGGCGACATTTAGTCATTAATCAAACCTGTGTAACTTTTGAATAAATAGTTCCTTTTCACCAAACCCTCCATTCAGAGCCATAATTCCAAGGGTGGCAGGCAAAGGACCCACAACCAAGGGACCCTGAGGAAGGGGGATGTTGTTTTCGTAAGAGCATCTGGACACACCCCCCGCCATGGGTCCATTGTTCAGTAACATGCACAGCAGCTCCAGCCCCTTCCCACATACCTTGCTCCATGAATCTCTTCGATTTGGCTATTCACTTGGATCCTTTAAAATAACGTGGTAAACCTAAGAACATGTTTCTCTGAGTTCTGTGAGCTGCTCTAGCAAATTAATTGCACCCATAGAGGGGGTTGTTGGAGCTTCCAACCTGTAGCTAGTTGGTCAGAAGCACAGGTGACAACCTGGACAGTCCATCGGTATCTGAAGGGAAGCGGTGGGGGCGGGGCAGGCTTGTAGAATTGAGCTATTTAGGCCTTTCCCATTTTCCTCTCACCTGTTCATCCCATTTACATATTTCTCCTTGATATGCCCAATCACTATTTTATAGTTATGTATACAGAGGACCTTGCATTTGGTAAATAGCTAAACTTATTTTTCCTTAGGAAAACAATGTTCAGAGACCCAGACCCTGCTCAGAAGTTTTGAAGATTCAGAATGAAACAAAATGACTAAAAACACAAGCCTTACTCACGGTAACTTTGATTCTTTAACTCAAAATCCTTATACTCAAATGACAAGAAACAGCCCCCCACCTCTCACACCACACATATACATTTAGGAGGTTTTTCATCTGCTCTCCTCCTCTGGGGGATTACTTCAATCAGGCAGTGAATGACTTGCAAGGGTTTTAATCACTGTTTTGACACCCGCCTTGCACCACAGCGATTTCCTGCAATCAGCATTGCTTAAAAGGGTAATCAGAAGGCAGAGGAACAGACAGAAAAACCTGACATTTTTGCAGCTTGCACAGCAAAGTAAGATTAGAAGCCAAACCTATAATGCTAGAAATACTTAGGGGAGGAGTAAGACAGAGGAGAGTACCTAAGGAATGGCTCAAGTGTAACTGTGTGTCACCTGTTGGGAAAGCTCACTCCTTCCTGTCTAAATACAACGATTCAGCCTATTCAGAAGTCCTGGCCCAGGCCAAGTTCATTAGAGACATTTATATCTTGTTATTCTTTACAAATACCCTTTTGGGTTACAGAAAAGAAATGGATGGTTTTATCAGAAATATATGTCTTCTCTGGATTTTAATTAATATTTAACAACACATTTCCTAACTTGAGTTCTTTAGGAGGACTGAAAAGGGAAAAGTTTTTGCACAATCCTCTGCTGACTACCAGTGTGGATGGAGGACAGGCTATCAACCTTGACCCGCCTTTTTCCTTAACAAATTCTGGAAATCTGAGCCACAAGAGAAAAACCAGAGTGGCCAGGGAGAAAGGGGGACATCTTTGACATCATCTATTACAGATGCTAAGTAAGCATCAATAGAAAAAAATCTTTTTCTCTTTGATTCTTGCAGATACATAGTGCTTCTCCAGGAAAACTCTTCTAGTTTCCAGAAAATATTTGTCTCTACCACAATTTACTATATGCTCCTGTAGGGCTGATGATCTTTTTACCTACGTATACTGAACTGAGATGCAGAACCAAAAGTACTAAGTTGATAAACTCTAATTTTTATGTGTCCCATGCTCATAGACCCAAGTTCATAGCTAGGCTGTGAATATTTCATCATAGACTTATTTTTCTGGAGGATGAGTCAAAAACTGGGGTATAAGCCAAGAGTGGAAAAGTTTCGAGTGACAACAGTATTAAAAACAAAGGAAAAAGGGAAAAAAATAGTGAATTCTGTTAGCCAGTGTCCTCCTCTTACTTGATGAGACATCTTCCTTGATGAGACATTAAAAGAGAAAACAGTAAAAACTTGTATCTCCAGGTAGGTATTCAGGGCTGCTGCTCAGAAAGCATCAAAGCTGAACTAGGCAGAAAAATTACACCAGAACGACAAGCTAAGAATTTAACTGATGCAAAAGTTAAGGTGAGAGAAAGCTGGAAGCAGGGCCTCTGCAGGGAATGACTCACCAACCTCCCTCTTTATAGAAAGTCAATTCCTTTCATTCAAATGAGCTAAAGAGAGCTTTCAGAAACACTAAAAGAAAGGATGTTTCTGCTCCATAGATTGAATGAAGGGGAACCACTTTATAGGCTTACAATTTTATAGAACTGTAGGTAGTAAATTATAGCATATCCTTATAAGTGTCAAATCTGCACCACCGAGAAGGAAAAGCCACCAAGATTGAACAAAAAAAAGTGAAAGCTCTAGAAGAGCTCCCGCTGGCAGTCAACCTCAAGCAGGCCTCAAAAGACTCCTCTGGGGCTTCATTCTCTGCTATGGGGAGAATGCAAAACCGTGGGCCTTGTAATAGAGGGCATTACTTTTACCTTTGCCTATGTACTCATCAGAGAGCACCGCCCTTCACTCACTACACAAATGTGCTTACCCACCTCAATATCTGAGAACTTGATATGTTAAAAGGATAAGAGAAAAATCAGTGTCATGAGCACTTTCTTTATTGCAACACTAACTTTTACCCCTTAATCTTTGACCCCATAAAGATGTTTTGCCCATGAGTTTGCAATTTTATGTCTACACTCCTCGAAGTTTCCTACATATATGCCAAGTGTTCTTTACCTCCTTCAAATATTCTTTGTCGTTGACAAGGGTCCGGTGCACCGCTCTCTGGTGAAGGAGAGCCCTCTGCCATAAAAGCTCTGCAGGGGTCCTGATCACCCTCCAGGCCAAACTGTACCAGACCTTCAAAAGTAAACTTCTGACCCATTCTGTAGATTAGATCTTACCTTCTACTACCTCCAAGTCTGTTTTTTTGCAAGCTCATCTCCCTGTAAAATCTGGGTAGCCAAACCCCAGGGTTTTGCTAAGGTGGTTTTCAGTGGAAAGACAACCCTGAGCTCTTATCCCATTTCTGCCACTTAATTTAACTATGTAGCAACTCTCTCACCAACAATACATCAGTTTAGTCATCTGGGAATAAGGATTAATGCCTATCTCACCAAGCTTTTGTAATGGGAACAAGAGAGCATGTGTAAAATTTCTAGTATATAGTAGACATTCCATAAACAGAAGCTATTAATAGCTGTGAAAACTTTACTTCCTTCCCCTGGCTTCAAAAGACACGCTCAGGTCTAGAATCTGTCATTAATATATGCTATCTGGCCAAGAAAGCATAGAAAGGTCCATTTGAGAACCAGTAACCACAGGTAGAATCAATGCTTATATTATTAAAATCGCAGTGGAAAGACTGAAATTATCTTGCTCATGCTTGTGTAGTTTCTACCTAAAATTCAGGTAATGCTGTTAAACTACTTTTTTTTTTTAAAGAGCTCAATATTCAGTCTTTTTGTCTCAGTAGTTCCTACGCTTGACATTCAATGTGTCTGATAATGTACCTACCTAGTGTGTACTTGGCAAATCCCTACTCTTCCTTCCAGGCTCAGCTCCAGAAAACCACCTCTGAGAAGATTTTCCTGTCACCAACAGATGGACTTGCTCCTATGATTCCCTAAGTATCTTTTCACTGTAGCACATAATACATTGAACTGTAATTATCTATTCATGTGTCTGTAGACTTATTAGACAGCAGGTTCTATGAGGACACAGGATAAATGCTCAAAATCAATTTAGTCAACATTTCTTTAATACATTTATCCAGTCATTCAAGAAGTATTTATAGGCTTATTATGTTCCTGTATGTAAGAAAGAGCACTAAGGGATGAATGCAAAAAATTTTGAAATAAGAAATTGTGTGCCTACCATAGCTAATGAACCCAGAACAGGAGACTTACAAAATAGTCAAAATAATGCCAAATAGTGCCAAATATGTAAGTAAAGTAATAGAGCTGGAGTTTCCATGACAAAAGAAATGCTGTCTCACTGGTGGACAACTGTACAGCACCAAAGCATAAAGTAAAAGATAAGTCTTTCATATTTATCAAATGGACTCACCAATTGTAACAAAATAAGCTGACAATTGTAAAACACTTTGGGATTTAAAAGTACTTACTATTCTTATTTGATATGCAGAAAACCCCAACCTACTATACACAACAGGTCTAACCAAGGTAGCTCTAGGACATTATAGTGATCAGGGAACTGATGTAATCTTATGGATACTCCGGACTTTGTCCATTCGTTCATTCATTCAATCATTCATTCAGTCATGACAAATCTTCTTTGAAGACCTAGAACACATAAAGACTGCCTACTCCTAAGGTGGGAGAAGTACTCTCTCTATAGGCTTGCTGAAGCAAAAAGGAGTTAATGCTCTTTCAAAGAATGCAGATCAACCCTCCCCGCATTGTCTAACTCAAAGACGGAGGTACGAACGCAAAAAATTGTACCACCAAGAAACAATTCCTAGGTCAAATAGATAGTAACACATGGAAAGCAGACTTTTCATGGTGTAAAAGCATGCAATAAAGTATACAGATATCGAATTATAATGTTGTACACTTGAAATTTGTATTCTACTCTTGTACTAATATACTGCCTATGTTACCTTAATAAAAATAAAGAACCGACTCCCCCTTCTGGCTGACTGCAGCGCTGCATCAGCCCCATTGATGCCAGCATGACAATTCCTACTGTCTCAGCAAAGCTTTATCACTGGGAAGACAATCAGTTCCTTCACATCCAAAACAGCAAAATCCGAACTGAGGCTATCCCAGGTTCATCAAAGCAGGTGGACTCAGTCCCAAGGATTATTCCCAGTAAAATGTGGGCCGTAATGAAAAGCAGATGCCAACGTTCAAGGAAAGCTGGCCACTGCTCTGTGCATCCCCAAAACCTACCCCAGGGGTCCTGCACCCATCCAATGTTAAACTAGAACCATAAATTTAAATCAGAATTTATTTCTCCTTTCTCACTTTCCCTGCAAACCTGCTGATTTCCAGATTTATAAACTTCATCAAGCTAAAGAACTACAAAAAATATGTAACATTCATATGCTCTAACACAAAGTTTTACAAATAAGCAGTCACAACATCAGTATGTAATAACCCATTTAAATGGTGGAAAAGCCATTTTTTCAAAATTAAACTCAAATGAACACAATTTATTCACCCATACATAATGGATATCATGTTTCTAATCGGTTCCATGTAAATAAATTTCTAATGTGCAATCTGGGTCTAACAGAAGTCTCCCTGGTCTTATAGAATCAAATAAAATTTACAAGTAAACTAAAACAAGAGGCAATTAAAAACATGCAAGCTGTAGCTAAAGGGAGACATCTAGAGGCAAAAGCTCAAAACTGGAGCTTTTTCTCACATCCTTTGGGATCCTGGAGCCATAAAGGAGCATTTTGAAATTCCTTCACTTAGCAATCATATTTTAACCATTCAGTTTGTGAATTCAATTCACTGAACAAAACACTGTTTATTTTAACCTGTTACTTGCCATCTAAAAGGACAATATTTCCCAAATCCCAGGAGGCCCAATTAAATTTCACTCATATGCTTACTTTAAAGTTCTTCCATCTGTTGGTTCTATTGGCAGGATGGCACAGAAAAATGGTGGGTATGGCTTAAATTGTTAAGAGACGTGTTGAGAATATTAATCTGCTTCAGAGCAAAGCCCCAAGCCAATCATATGTGAAATGCTCTAAAAACTTCAAAAGATTAAGGCAGAAGAATCTAGACTTATTTTAATAAAAAGCTGTCTCATAAATTGTTTACTGCCTTTGCATCATCTCATGAGAAAGCTCTCTCTAGCTCATCTTTCCAGTAGCCTTCACCAACTCAAATACCCTCAAGGGGACAAACGGCTGGCAGTGGGAAAAAAAAAAAAAAGGCTGACTGAGAGAAAGACATCAGGGGAGGGGTGGAGAAGGCAGTATACTGGAGAATGAATACAGCCCCAGACAAAAGGCATTCCTTTTTTTTTTTTTTTCCTCTTAACCCTAAACTGGACAAACTACTGTGGATGAAAAAAGGGGTTCTATGGGAAGTAACTTCACTGGGTTGATCTGATCATAAATTTATAACTAGGCAGGTCATGGTAGGTAGTCACACCAAAGCATATACATTTTTTAGTAAAAGGCTTATCTTTTCCTTAAGCAAGCCCTGCCTATCCACTTTCAGTGCATCTAGGTTAACACACTTTTGAAATAACTCTCTTCAGACTCCTCCTTCTAAAACATGATCACCCTCAAGAGAGGGCTAATCTTAACCTGATTAGATCCTGCCTTGCTTTTTCTCACTCTCATGCAGTCTTCCTTAGGTCTTTCCTTAATTTCAAATGCATAAAAGCTGCAAAATTGTTATTCTTTGCAGCACTTGAGATCTTGCTTCCTAGCATGTGTTGTCAGTTTGACTCAAATTCTTATAAGAATTCTCTACAGGTGTGGACCGTTTTTTACATCAACACTACCTACCCTCTCATGCTGACCCCACCCCCCACTTGCTACGCTTTGTCTAAAGGTTTTCCAAACTTTCCCCCCCAACGCCTGATACTGAAGTAATGCAAATTTAAAAAACAAAAAATAATGCCAAATGTGGATATGTACAGAAAATATCTGGAAAAATATACTCCAAGGTGTTAACAATAGCTATCTGGAGGTTATGGGATTATGAATGTCATTTTCCTATTGTTGTTATTGTATTAATTTTCTAATTGAGAAGCGGAAAAAGGAACTCTTAATTAAAAAAAAAGAGTAGTATCAAAAGCCATGGTATACTCAACAGAGCCCTCACTACTTTGAAATTGAGAATAACAGACAGTAGGTCCAACAAAAAGCTAAATCCAAATATCACATTAACCAAGGAGAATTATTTAGTGGCAACATATCATCACTGCACTATATTCAAGTAATAAAATGAGGCAACTGAATTAAAATTTCAAAGCCCAAGCAAATTAAGCTATTTCCTAACTCTTTCCTAATCTCATAAGGCCTTACCATAAAGATCAGGTCCATGTGAAGTAAAGACATTATACAAAACAATGTTGACTGGTGCAATCACCAACATCCCATAATAATAGCTGTCGATGAGCACTACAGGCACCTGAAACAGAGCAGAAAATACACTGCAATTGGAGACTTTTGCTCTGGAAACATTCTTACAATGCTAATAGGATAAACTTCAAAATAAAGAACAAAATCAACTCCTAATATTCTCATACCCACATCAGAAGTTGCTTTCACACAGTGGAATATACAAATGATGCATTTAAAATTACATACCTGAAATTATATAGTGTTATTAACAGATATTACCCCAATAAATTAAATTAATCTAAATTTTTTTAAAAACCTAAGATGTTTTCATTACAACTTTAGAACAAAACAAGAAAATGAGAAAACTCACCAGAAAGAGTATTAGGGCCACCAGTGACCAATGAAAGAAACTCTTCCACCTGCATTTCATGACCAGCAAGTCAAAGGCAATAGGTAAGCTATTTAACAGAGAAACAGGGAATTAGAGTATAGACAGGTAGATTCAAACATACCTCATGCTGGACTGAGAAAAAGTCTCTAGCAATTATAGTGAGAAAAAAAGCTGGTACATGAGAGGATGTCTTCTCAAAAATACACTGTTCTCTTCACAGGACCCATCAGAGTACTATGTATCCCACGATGCACAAGAAATATAAATACTGAGCTTCTGCAATGAGCTCTGTTTTAAACATATTGATGTGTAATGGACATTTAAAATACATTAATTATAAGTAAATGTAGTCTACTGTCCTACACCCACCCTGCCAAATAAATAAATACTGATTTCTCCCTTTCATGATACATTAAGATTTTAGTGATATGATATTACCAACTTGACTTGAAATCCAATATATCCTCTTCCAATACCATTTACTCTTCTTCCCTTCACTTAAATTCCTTAAGCAAGGAATATGTATGTTGCCTTCACTATTTCTTCCTTAAGGTCTAGCATCAAGCTATTAAGACTGATCTGCAGTGACATCAGAGGAATGGCAGTATGAGAGATCCCCGTGGTCACTCCCCTGGAAATTTTAACAAGTTGAACAGCTATAACTCAACAAAGGATTCCTTCTTCAACATACAGGGATGCCTAAGAGATCCATACATTCAAGCATCTAAAGGTAGGTAAGCAGGAACAAACAGGGGTGGGGGAAGGCAAGGACAGAGGAGCGTTAAGACTGGCCATTGATGCAGTCTTGCAGCCAGAAGCGCAGGGGCAGGCTCAGGCTGGAGTGGGGAGGAAGCCAGATGTGGCTGGCACTTCCTTCAGCTGGAAGGAGAAGATAGACTCAGTAGGCACTCCTGCAGGCGCAAACAGTGCAAACTGTGTCTGAGGTAAGAGACTGGGCAAAGACACAACACAGGGGTTCTGCCACAGCTGTCAGACAGTTGGCATTCCAGACAAAGAAAGAAAGCCATAGAGCCCTGTCACCCCAGAGACTCTCAAAACTTGCTTCCTATCACCTTTGGTGTCAGGTTGTGAAGCACATTTTTTGTAAACCTGAGATCTATTACTATAGAATCACTATTTCCCCTGAGCAAAGGGTGCACTCTGTGGCTGATCCCTGGTTTGGGTGCATGGAGAGGGAACTCCTCAGAGATCCAAGATCACCATTACTGAAAGAATAAAACAAAGAAGGCGGCTGGATTTCCCTAGACTACTCCACCCTGATGCATTGCAACTACACTTGTACCTGTACAGTTAGACACTGACCTGTACAGTTAGTGACCTGTACAGATGGCAGCTGTACAGGTCAGCACTGGGATTTCACAGAACTGTGTGATGTGATATAAATGACAGAGAATTCAAGATTGCAGTTCTGAAAATACTCAACAAGATGTAAGAAAATACAGGCAATTTAATGCACTCATAAAAGAAATTAATGAACAAATCAAGTTCTTTCCCAAAGAGATCAAAACTTTAAAGAAGAACAAAACAAATCCTGGAGATGAAGAATTCAATAAAAGAGATCAGGAATAAACTAGTGAGCACAGAAAACGGAGACTACCAGATGGAGGAAAGAATTAGTGGTATTGAAGATAGAAACCTAGAAATGACAAAGAGGAAAGAAGAGAAAGACCTGAATATAAAAATAAAAATATGAAAAGAACTCTACAAGAACTATCTGACTCCATCAGAAAAAGCAATATAAGAATAATAGGCATACCAGAGAAAGAAGAGAGGAAGAAGGGAATGGAGAGCCTATTCAAGCAAATAGTGGAGAAGAACTTCCCAAACCTATGGAAAGAATTAGATTCTCAAATCCAAGAAGCAAACAGAACACCTAGTTACCTCAATCCAAAGAGACTTCTCCAAGGCACACTGTATTAAAACTGTAAAAAATTAATGACAAAGAAAGTCTTTTCAAAGTATCCACAGAAAAGAAGGAAGTGACCTATGAAGGAGAGCCCATCAGGTTATCATCAGACTTCTCAGCAGAAACTCTACAAGACAGAAGAGAGTGGAACCAAATATTTAAGCTACTGAAAAAAAGAAATTACCAGCCAAGAATAATATATCCAGCAAAGTTATCCTTTAAACAGAAAGGAGAAATAAAGACTTTTCCAGACATACAGAAGCTAAAGGGATTTATCACCAGGAGGCCACCACTGCAGGAAATACTCAAGGGGGTATTCTACCTAAAATAAGGAACAAAAGGTCACAATACTCCAAGTAAGATCACCAAAAAACTTACAGCATACACAGGGATAATTTGTAACAACAAAAACATAAAAGGAGAGGGAGGATAAAGGTCTGAATTTGCAAAGAAGGAGAGAGATCAGATGCACTCAAAAGAAAAAAAACAACTACTGTATATATGAAACTTTCTTTTTCATAAACCTAGTATTAACCACACACAAAAACCCCAAAACTGAGACACACAGCTTAAAAAAAGTGAGGAAAAAGTATGGACTACCACTAAACAAAAACAACAGATGGATGCACAAAGGAAAAGAGCCAATGGAGGCACAGAGGTACCAGAAAACAAAGGATAAAATGGCTATAGGAAATCCTCATACAACAATAATTACCCTAAATGTAAACAGATGCAATTTACCAATAAAGAGGCACAGAATAGCAGACTGGATAAAAAAAACAAAACCCAACCACATGCTGCCTTAAGAAGACATGTCTAAGCTGCAAAGATAAAGGTAGATTCAAAGTGAAAGGGTAAAAATGACTCCATGGAAAAGTGGGTATAACCATACTTGTATCTGACAAAACATTTCAAGATAACAAAGGTAAAAAGATACAAAGAGAGACATTTTATAATGAAAAGGGGGACTCTACATAAAGAAAACATAACATTTCTTAATATATATGCACCCAATCAGGGAGCACCTAAAATTTATACAGCAATTACTTCCAGAACTAAAGGGAGAAACAACAAAACACAATCATAGTTGGGGTCCTTAATATTCCATTGACAAATGAACTCAGATTTCAAGTCTTGGCAACTGGGAAAATGCACAGCACAGGGTGGTGCAGTACAGAAAAAAATTTAGCTGTGGAGTCAGAATTACCTAGATCCAAAAGCAAACATAATCTTAAAGAAAAATTACTCTACCTCTTGGACTTTACTTTCTCATTAATAAAGCACTAATAATTACTTTCTCCTGCAAAGTTTTTTATGAGATTTAGGGATAAAGTTTGTAATGGGTTAGTAGTGTCTAACATATAGCAGATGCTTAACAGTTTCTGTTCTTATTTAATAAAACAATAATCACCAAGAGAAATATTATTACATTTCCCAATCTTTGTAGGTTCAAATAATTCCTCTAACTTTAGGTCCTATGCAGAGAATATGGAGATAACCTAACATTAAGATTTACTATACACCCAGTGATACAAAGGAGATGAATTGTATTAGTTTCTTACCCAAGAGCCACACTGAATGGCCAGCCTACGATAGCCCCAGCTGCTACTCCAAGCACAGCAATGGAAGTCTTGTCCATATACCAGCCAGTCATTGCTATCAGTGTAGTATACATACAGAAACTACTAGGGAGAAATGCTGCGAGAATAAAGAAATGAAAAAAAAAAGGTTCATGGACAACAGCTTAAGTATCAATTATTAAAAATGTACCTACATGGCAGCCCTGGCGGGTGTGGCTCAGTGGACTGAGTGCTGGCCTGTGAACCAAAGGGTTGCCAGCTTGATTCCTAGTCAGGGCGCATGCTTAGATTGTGGGCCAGATCCCCAGTAGGGGGCATGCAAGATGCAACCACACATCGATGTTTCTTTCTCTTCCTCTCTTTCTCCCTCCCTTCCGTCTCTCTAAAAACTAAATAAAATCTTTAAAAAAAAGTACCCATGTTGCAAAATGTCAATAACAGGAACATACCTTGAACAATGCTATATTAGAAATGCAATGATTTTCTTATTGTCTCAACTGTTTTTCAGGTACCAACATATCACCCATTTATAAAATACCAACCATGCCATTTCTCTCCCAGCCTGTACCCGAAGTCTAAAACTTACAGAATTTCAGATTCCGCAGGTATAACCCCAAGTTATATTTCCAGGCATGGAATATACTTCAAGAAACTTAGAGCAACTGCTGACCATCTATTTCTGAAGTTTATCTTCTGATAGTCTTTTGAGGCTGTCCATGTACCAACTTGTGCCCCACAGGAATCCTAGGAAGCCTTCTCAAGGGCCTAATGTTGGTTGGCAGCCCTGCTTTACATAAGTTTGGTCTTTAGATATCCCCATAATTATTTCCAACTAGCATTACTTTGCTGTATTATCCATCAGAGGACTGACTATTTTCAGGTTCTCTGCAACAGAGACATTTGATCAAAGCGTTTCTACCAACTCTACACAAAAAAGCATATCTGCTTCTCCCTACTGTATTAAGCCTACCTCGCCCAGCACTACGAAGAAAAGTCAGTACCAACTCCAACAAAAACCACAATGAACAGGCAATATGATTTAAGAAACTTAACAAAGTGTTCAGAGGTTCTGTATCAAAGGATGCCTTGAACTAATCGGTGTCTTAACATCCTCCACTGAGATTACAAAACTAAAGATACTTCCAGTTATCTCCCTCACATAAAATCAATTTTAGAAGTAGCAAGATAACTTAAATAACATGTGGGGTGCAACCTTGACAGATAAATACTGAACCGTCACCTCATCTGCAGATTCTAGCTGCCAAGGCAGAGGCAAAGGAGGCAGAAGAATCTCAGGGCTGCCAGCTCAGAGGGGAGAGCAGTCTCATTTAGGACGCTGGCTCTCAAAGTTACTCCAGTATGGAGTCCTGAGGACTCTGAAGAATGACATAGATTTTGATAGTCAATGAAAAAAAATATATACACTTTTGAGCTGGATACTATTTTTGTGCATATTTAGTGTGTATACTAGATATTGGTACACACAAGGAGAAATTAAAATTGAGATAGTTATATATAGTCATTTAAATTTTCCAGAGAATTGGGAACAGGATACCTTTTGGCAGCAGGTCACCTTGGCCTTTCAAAGTTCATAGAACAAAAAATATTCACTGGCAGCACAGTTTGAAAGCCACCATTTTAGATTAAGGCTTTTATTCTCAATTTCTAAAGCTAAGCATTAAAAAAAAACAACCCAGTAGAAGATTTATACCTTTACAGAATACACTGCAAATATTGGGCAGAAAGGAGAACCATTAAGAACAGGGTTTTTAGGCACAAGAACCTTCTTGAGCAAAATAAGAAAATTATTTTCCTTCCCCTAACAACAAAGACAGGGAGGGGGTGCCTGTGTTTTTTAGCCTTACAGTGATAAAAAATACAATAATGTAGTAGAAAGCAACCTGATGAAAACAATAGTTCTACCACTTATAAACTGTTTGACTTTCAGTAAGTCATCTCATCTTTCCAAGTTCCAGCAAAAATGAGAAAATATTTACCTTACTTAATGTTGTAAAGGTCATTCAAGATCATGTAGGCAATAGTGGTCTGCAAATTATTGACAAATATAACTTATATCTGGACAAGTTCTTTCTTTTGATGCAATTGTGAAATATCAGTTAACCTGTTGTGCCCTCACCTGCTCTTTTACTTACCTGATGATGAGCAGAACATGCCAGTGCTGAGGACCAAGAAAGCTAGCATCATTCGACTCACATGCAGCCCAAACTTCTTGCACACGGCCCTAGAAGAAAGGCAGACTATCAACATACCAAATATTAGGGATATAAATTTCAAATTAAAAGACAAAAACATGCCTGCATCACAGAGAAAAACTGATGATGTCAAGCAAATACTGAACAGTCTTGACAGGTTGGTTAGCAATTTTCATGTGCATAAGAAACCCAAATGTTCTTATTCCTTACGCAGGAGAGAAGCTCTCTCCCTACAAGGAAATGTATACTTTAGGTGCTAAGGGTATGTCTACTAACAGTAGAAAAACACCATGATGTTGTAGAAAAATAGTGGGCCTCAGACTCAGATGGGAACAGGTTCAAATTTGGGTTCAGTCACTTACTAGCAGTGACACCCTTATCTAGTTACATAATCACTCTGTCAGATTCTTCATCTGTAAAAAGAGGATAATAATTACCTACTGTGCAAGGTTTCTGTGAGGACAATGAATGGTAGAGTGCTCATAAGAGTGCTTGGCAGAGTTGCTCAATAAATGGTAATTAGCAGAAAAAGACTAGGTAGGATATACACCGAAGTGTTAATAAGTGGTTATTTAAGTCAGTATTTCTCAAACTTGAACAATTGTACACTTCCTTCTACTTATTCTTTTGTAGGTTTTTAGAAACATTATTATTGCCTCATTCAGTCAAACTTTGTTCAGATATACCCACATGTTAATTATTGTCTTGCTCAGGCTCCTTATTGCATCTCAGAGCTTCTTTTTGGAATAAATTTGCTTCTTCCTAAGTATACCCTCTAGAAGTTCCTTCACTGAAATCCTGTTAATGGTTAATTGTCTTTCGTTAGGCTTCTGTTTCTTTCTTTCTTTTTTTGTCTGAAAAGTCATTATTTAGCTATTGGTCTTAAGAGATGGCTTAGCTGAGTATATAATTTTAGAATGACAGTCACTTTCTCTCAGCACTTGAGTTTGTTTGTTTGTTTTTTTGTCTTTGGCTTTTGAGAAGTCTTCTGTCAGTCTACCTAACATTCCTTTGTAGGTAATCTATGAAGTTATCTATCAACGTAAAGATCTCCTTCTTTGTTCTGTATGTTCCAGGTGTGTCCAACCTGCAGACTGCAGGTCACATGGGGCACAGGATGGTTATGAATGTCACTCAAAACAAAACTAAGTTTAATTAAAACATTATGAGTTTTTTTATGATTACATGTCACAATGTATAATGTGCGGCCCACGACAACTCTTCTTCCAGTGAGGCCCAGAGACACCAAAAAGCTGGACACCCCTGTCAGGTAATCTCCACAGTTTCATTAATTCCTTTTTAATTTCAGCTTCCTGAATCTGTGGATTAGCATTTTTTTCATCAATTCTGGAAAATCCTTAGCTATTACTTCCCTGATTATTGCCTCTCCCCATTCTCTCTGCAATTTCCTAGAACCTGATTAGATGTATACTGGGTCTTTATCATACAGTGGACTTGTAGCTTGTTTTCAGTCTTGGTTATTGTAATTAGTGTGGAAATGAACACTCTAAACTCTTTTATTCTTAACCTCTTTGATATATTCTTTTGTTGTCACTCTGTACTAAATTCTTAGTAATTTCTTCAGATCAGTCTTCCAGTTTACTTGTTAGCAGTGTCTAATCATCTGTTTAAACTATGCATTGAATTTTAAGTATCAATTATTATATCCTTATTTCTAAAAGTTCTGTGTGGTTCTTTTTCAAATCTGCCTGGTTACTTTGGAGTCTCAGTTCTTTTTTAATCTTTTTTTATTTTTTATTTTTTTGTGGTAAGAACATTTAATATGAGATCTATCTTCTTAACCAATATTTTAAGTATTAAATACAGTATTATCTATAGGCATAATGTTGTACAGCAGATCTCTAGAACTAATTCATATTGCATAATTGAAATTGTATATCCATTGAAGAGAAACTTCCCATTTCTCCCTCCCCCAACACCTAATAACCACAATTCTATTCCCTTGCTTCCATGAATTTGACTGTTTGAGAAACATCATATGAGTGAAATCATGCAGTATTTGTCCTTATGTGACTGGTTATTTCACTTAGCATAATGTCCTTAAAGTTCATCCATGTTGTCGCATTTTGCAGGATTCCTTTTTTAAGAGTGAATAATATTTCAATATTTTTCCCCATTCATCTATCAATGGACATTTAAGTTGTTTCCAATTTAGGGTATTGTAAACAGTGCTTTGATGAGTATGAGAATGTGGACATTGCTTTGAGATTCTGATTTCAATTGTCTTAGATAAATACTCAGAGTGGAATTGCTGATAGTTCTATTTTTAATTTTTTGAGGACCTTCATATTGTTTTCCGTAGTGACAGTACCATTTTGCATTCCCACCAATGATGCGTGGGTTTGAATTTCTGTACATCCTTGCCAACATTTGCTGTCTTTGTTGTTTTTAATAGTCATTGTAACAGGTATAAAGTGCTCTCACTATGTTTTAACAATGACTATTTTTTTTAGTTGTTCAAATACATTTGAATCCATTTTCCCACCACCACTTTCTCCAGCCCCACCCACCCCCACCTCCCACCATCAATCCCTCCCCACTAAGGCTTTCTCCATGGGTCTTTTATACATGCTCCCTGATTTCATCCTTCCCCTCCTTTTCCCCATTACTGCCCTCTAACCCTCCCTCTCGTTACTGCCAGCTTCATTTTTCTCTCAGTGATGTTGGTTTTATTTTTCTTGCTTGTTTTTTTTTTTTTTGTTGATTAGGTTCCACTTATAGGTGAGATCATATGAGATCTGTCTTTCACTCCCTGGCTTATTTTGCTTAGCATAATGCTCTCCAGTGCCATCCATACTATTGCAAACAGTAGTAGCTCTTTCTTTCTTTCTACTGCATAGTATTCCACTGTGTAAATGTAACAGTTTTTTGATCCCCTCATTTACTGATGGGTACTTAAATTGCTTCTAACACTTGGCTATTGTAAACTGTGCTGCTATGAACATTGGGGTGCATACGTTCTTTTGAATTGGCGTTTTGGAATTCTTAAGAGTATGATCCCAACACTGGAATTGCTGAGTCAAAAGGCAGCTCCATTTTTAGCATTCTAGGGAAATTCTAAACTGTTTTCCACAGTGGCTGCACCAGTCTGCATTCCCACCAACAGTGTACTAGAGTTCCCTTTTCTCCACAGTATCACCAGCACTTGCGTGTTGATTTGTTTATGATGGCCATTCTCACTGGTGTGAAGTGATATCTCATTGTGGTTTTAATTTGCATTTCTCTGATGGCTACCGATGATGAGCATCCTTTCATATGTCTCTGAGCCCTGAGAATGTCCTCCTTGGAGAAGTTTCCATTCAGAACCTTTGCCCATTTTTTCATTGGATTGTGTGTCTTCCTGAGGTGGAGTTCTGTGAGTTCTCAATATATTTTAAAGATCAAGCCCTTGCCTGAGGTATCATTGGTAAATATATTTTCCCACAGAGTTGGTTCCCTTTTCATTTTGCTGACGTTTTCTTTAGGCAGAAGCTTCTTATTTTGATGAAGTCCCATTTCTTTTTTCTTTCCTTTATGTCCCTTGCTCTAGGGGACCTACTGGTGAAAATATTGCTGTGTGGAATATCTAAGTTTCCTGCCTATCTTTTCCTTTAGGACTTTTATGGTGTCCTGACTTATATTTAAGTCTTTTATCCATTTCGAGTTTATTTTTGTGTATGGTATAAGTTGGTGGTCGAATTCCAATTTTTTGCATGTAGCTGTCGAGCTCTCCCAACGCCATCTGCTGAAGAGGCTATTTTCACTCCATTATATGTTTCTGGCCCCTATGTCGAATATTAATTGACCATAGAGACATGGGTTCATTTCTCGGTTCTCTATTCTGTTCTCTATTGATCTATGTGTCGGATCTTATGCCAGTAGCAGACTGTTTTGATTACAGTGGCTTTGTAATATAGTTTGATGTCTGGTATTATGATCCCTCCTACTTTATTCTTATTTCTCAAAACTGCTGCAGCTATGTGTGGGGTTGTTTATGGTTCCATAAAATTTTTGAAATGTTTGTTCTATATCTGTGAAACACATCATTGGTATTTTAATAGGGATTGCATTGAATCTATAAATTGCTTTGGTTAGTATGGACATTTTGATGATGTTAATTCTTCCAACCCATGAACACAGTATATGCTTCCATTTATTTGTGTCTTCCTTTATTTCTTTCTTCAGTGTTGTGTAGTTTCCTGAGTACAGGTCTTTTACCTCCTTGGTTAAGTTTATTCCTAGGTATTTTATTTATTATGTTGTTATAGCAAATGGGATTTTTTTTCCTGATTTCTGATTCTGATATTTCATTGTTGGTGTACAAAAATGCCTTCAATTACCGAATATTTACTTTGTATCAAGCCATTTTGCCAAATTCACTTATTAGGTCGAGTAGTTTTTTGGTGGAGTCCGTGGGTTTTCTATATACAGTGTCTTGTCACCTGCAAACAATGAAACTTTTACTCCCTCCTTTCCAATTTGGATGCCTTTTATTTCTTTTTCTTGACTGATCACTGTGGCTAGGACTTCCAATACTATGTTGAATAGAAGTGGTGAAAGCAGGTATCGTTTTCTTGTTCCTGATCTTAGTGGGAAAGCTTTTTTAGCCTGTTGAGCATGGTGTTAACTGTAGGTTTTTCATATATGGCCTTTATTATGTTGAGTTAGGCCCCCTTTACTACCACTTTGTTGATTTTATCAAAATGGGTGCTGTACCTTACCAAATGCTTTTTCCGTATCTATTGATATGAACATGTTGTTTTTGTCTATCCTTTTGTTTATGTGATGTATTACATTTATTTATTTGTAAATATTGATCCACCCTTGCATTCCTGGGATGAATCCCATTTGATCATGGTGGGTGATCTTTTTAATGTATTGCTGGATGAGGTTTGCTAATATTTTGTTGAGGATTTTAGCATCAATGTTCATCAGCGATGTTGGCCTGTAGTTTTCTTTCTTTGATGTGTCTTTATCTGGCTTTGGATTAAGATTTGAATAAGGACCCCTCATTAAAAAAGTTTGGGAG